TTGGGCTTTATTTACTTAGTTGTATGGAACTATTGTAAGCATGTTAAGTTGGGCCGGTTAGGGTTAATTTGTTAGCCCAACTTATTATCTCTATTTGTAGTTTGAAGGAATAAAAGTAAAGGCATGAAAAATGTCATTTTCCCTAACTAATTTCTCTCTCCTCTCTCCTTCTCTCTCTACACGTTTTCTCTCATCTGTTTCTTCTTCTCCAATCTACTCAATCCCAAGCTAAAATTACAGTGAAATATTATAAGAAAATACAAAAATATATCAGCCCACTACATATTCTAGCATATCTCTAGTTTTAATTATGTATTTTATTTATATAATCCATCACTAGTACAATACTCATGTACTACACGTGCATTGAATTAAGAAATGTTTATATCCAAATATTTAAAGATAAACATAACAATTTTATTTTACTTTTTTGAGCTTTATAAAATTGCATTATTCGTTTTAAAATGACGCTAGAGTGTTACACACGAACATAATAATTTTTAATCACATTATTTTTTTTTTTTCCAAAGTTTAAGAAAACAATTTTAGTATCATTTCTAATAATAAAAAAAATATACAAAAATAGGATATTATATATGCTTATTACCTATATACAATTAATTGATAACATAATTTGCAATAATCAACATGACTATGCTAGATCACACATAAACTCTTGCTAACAAAATAAATAAATTGGCATGTGTATATAGGCCAACACAATGTTTTAAATAGTGTACCGTATCGACTGATATTGACGGTGATATTGGATACGATATACTGACCGATACAGTAACCCTCTGAGTGACATTTTGGCAAAAATACAGTTTTATATCGGTTTCATACCAAAAAATACATGCCAGAATAGATGATATACTGAATATAAAATATATGTTTATTTATATATTTATCAATTTATTTATTTTAACATGTTTACATTATTATTAGTTTTTAATCAATTTTAATGTTTATAAATAAACCAACTATCGTAAGTGTAGAGAATGTCATTTTTTTGTAACCAATGCAATGACATAATTGTCATATTATTCTTTAATAGTGATTTGTGCAAAATGATATGAATTAAGAAAATAAAGATTTGTGTGATATTTAAAACTCGAGACAGATTTGGTAATGAAAGAGATATTGACTAGAGACAATAATATATGAATGGTAGAAAAATTATTTATGACAATTTCCAAGTCAATTTTGTTTCAAAATTTTTTATATGAACCTAACTACAAAACATCATATGTGACACGTAAGATGACACATAAGATTCCAAAACGTCCGAGCAAATAATATGTATATAGGAGGATTTTTTTTGGTACAGAGACCTTTCGGTTTCCGGATCCACAGGGGAACCGACTAATTCGGAATCGAGCCGGGTAGGACCACAAGGGTGGCAAAGCTCTCCCTCAAGAGTTTTAACACTGTTGCATTCTCAGGACTCGAACACGAGACCATTAGTTAAGCTGAAAGAGACTCAAACCATCTCTTCCGAGCGCTCTTGGGTATATATAGAAAGGATTTTGACAAAACAAAACATAACATCATGACCCACGAGACTGCGACTAGAGAACAAAATTAGGGCTCTTGCTCGCCTCCGTCAAATTTTAAAATCTTAATTAGATATACTTTGCTGTGCACTGCACGTGCTCCTGGGGACTCTCGCACCATTCCCCGCCAGCCCCACGTACTTCAATGCCATCCACTCTCCATTTTCATCACTACACCTTTTACCCCTCCCTCTCATTCTTATCTTTTGCAGCCTCTTTGTAGCTTTTAACAATTTTTACCACAGCCAAGATCCAAGAAAATCACAACCCCAGCTACAATTTCCCATTTTCTTTTTTCTTTTTTTTTTTTTTGGCCCTTTTCGATCTGGGTCGTGAAAACTCGCCGTAAAGTTGAAATCTTTATCTAGGGGGCTATTTCACACTCCCCTGCACCCTCGCGTTTCATCAATGGTGATGGAGGTGGTGCACGAGGACGAGGCCGGAGACGGCGGCATGCACTGCGCGAACCACCCTTTCAAGAACAGCGCCGTCCCAGGCGGCATCTGCGCATTCTGCCTCCAAGAGAAGCTCGGGAAGCTCGTCTCCTCTTCTCTGCCCATGACCGTCTTCCCTTCTTCTTCTCCTTCATCCTCCTCCTCCTCCTCTTCCCCTTCCCCTTCCTTCAGATCCGAGTTCGACACCGGCACCGCCAACTCCGCCGGCGGCCTCCGCCACCTCGCCTCCTCAACCCAGACCGGCGCCGACGGCAATGGGATCTGCTATTATCCCCGGAGATCGTCAAGGCTTCCCTTCGTCCTGACGCACAGGAAAAACAAGAAGAAAAATAAAGACACGAATCTGGCCAACGGGAGCTCAGAAAATTCGAGCATCGTCTTCAAGAGGAGCAAATCCACCGTGACGCCGAGAAGAGGTACGCGTTTCTTGGACGAGAGCAGCTTTGACAGTCCAAACAAAAGAGGTTTCTGGTCGTCATTTTTCCGCTCTTCAAAAAGTTCCGACGCCAGAAAAAGGGATAAACACTTTAAAGATTGGAGCTTTACGCCGAATGGCGTTGTGGGGTCATCCTCTGTAACCGGTCCAAGTAGGCCAAGAGAGGATTTTGTGGTTGTTGAAGAGAATGACGTAAGCCCGGACCACCCGGGTGTGGGCGGCCGGAAGGTGTCTAGATCCAGATCTGTTGGGTGTGGGAGCAGGAGTTTTTCCGGCGACTTTTTCGAGAGGATCTCGACTGGCTTTGGCGACTGTACCCTGAGGAGAGTGGAGAGTCAACGGGAGGGAAAGTCAAAGGTACAACCACCTTCGGTGCAGAGGAATAATAATGGTGATTGTATCAAGGAGAGGGTTAGGTGTGGTGGCATTTTTAGTGGCTTCATGATCACTTCATCTTCCTCCTCTTCATCATCTCTGGTTTATGAGGACAATAATAATAATAATAATAATAATAATAATAATAATAATAATAATAATAATAATAATAATAATAATAATAATAATAATAATAATGGAAAATCAAATAATAATTCAATGTGTCATGGGAGAAGCAAAAGCTGGGGATGGGCCTCACTTGCAAGCCCAATGAGAGCTTTTTCAAGTAAGCCATCATCATCTTCAATGAAAAGGGATTCTGCAAAACAGGTGACTCCTAATTTGGCTGCAATTCCTTCTTTGTTGGCTGTGGGTGGCTGATGATGAAGGACAAAATTGGGAATAAAAAAAAAAAAATTGTTTGGTGCTTTGCTAATTAAATTAGGTGATGATGTTATTATTATATATTTTTTTTTTATTTTTCTTTGATTTGGTGTTTTCTGTTATTATTTTTATTGCTCTGTTCAACTGTTTGGGACATTGTTGGTGAAGTTACTTTGCCTCTCTTTTTGAGGTTAGTGTTGAGTTTTGCTTTGTTGTAGTCTTGAGTTTGTTGGATTGTATTGAATTATTATTTGCCTTTTTTTTTTTTGTATATCAAATGTGGGATTTGATAAGAGAGTGAATGCGGTTAGGCAGCACCAACACGGTGAGCTCGGAGTGGCTTGAGAGTGCATGGTGAAACCTCGGATGAATGTGGGGATATCATATCGTCGACAAAAAAAAAAAAGAAAAAAAATAAGAGAGTGAATGGCCCCATGTGGAGGGGGTTTTTCATTGTTATTTGATCTGTCTATGCATGTGTTGATATTACTGCATTGGATCTGAATTCCATTGTTTTCTCGTGTTTCTTCTGGTTCTGCCCATGATTTCTGATTGCCAGTGCTTATTATTGAATACTATTTATTCATTTATGGAGCAATTCTTGGAGGTTATATTAATCGCTTATAGTTATTTGGTTAGCTCATAAACTTTTTGTAGGACGAGTTTTTTAAAAAAAGCTCGAGTTTATCTTATAAGCTTCTTTGGGTAGATTTTTTCAAATAAGCCCGTTGAAAATTTTATTTCAGCTATCTTATCAGCTAATTTTACCAAATATTTTTTCATCATATAAGTTAACTTTTCAGTTGTAAGCTATAAGCTCGAAAATTACTGATAAGCTATAAGCTGATTTATCGGCTTGTTTTAACAAAGATAGGCTATGCAACTTTATGTTTGATTGAATTATGACATTTTAGCCATGAGGTTCTAACTATATTACTCAACTCTCTTCCAAACCAGCAATCCTTTGGTTTCTCCTGAGATATGTTTATTCAAGAGTTATGTCGAGTTAACCTTAAAATTATAGAAAAATACTAAAGTCCCGTTATGGAACGGTACCGTCAGCGTTTTCCACTGTTGGATAAGAAAAGTAGATTATGTTGTACGGATAATTTACGATAACAAATTGTAGTCAACGAGACTTTAGCCGTTCCCAAAACTATAGGGTAAAATTTGTAATTTACAGAGTTTTGGTTAATATTATGTGTACTCTTCCATATGCCCGTTGGATCTATATTTTATTTGCTAGAAAAGAGAATTTTGGATGGACCTAATGTGCAAAATGATATGATTGCCTACTTTATGCATGGGTGTTTAGTAAAACTCTACATGCAAAAGAAGATTTGGTGATGAATATTTGGAGATGTGTATCTACTTTGATGTCTCCATCAAAGGAGAGGAAAAGCTCTCAAGTCTATGTGTTGTCACTTGAGATGGCCCCTCAAAAATTAAATTGGAAGTATAAGAAAAAAAGGATGAATCAAATATCACTAGCAAAATGGGCAAGGACCCATTGTCTTTGTCTAATCATTGTCTCAAGAGGCAAATAAATGGACAACTCAAAATTTTGTAGGATTCAAAGTGTGTGGATAAGACAAAGAGGTGCTAGAGCATCACCAACCACAATCTCCTTTAAAATTTTTGTATTAGAAGTCTAAAATAGTTTAGGGGAGATGCTGCGGTACCGTTACGAAACCATCCCGTCTGGGTTTCTAACTGTTAGATCAACTATCCCCGACGATTACATGATGATCTAACGATTATAAATCCCGACGAAAATGGTTCCGTAACGGGACCGTAACATATATCATAGTTTAGGCTTTGTAGCATATTATTTTCTATTTTTATTATTTTATTAAATAATCTCTGCAGATTACATTTTAATGAATTATGCAAGCATAAAATTTTGCATATTTATGTATATGTATTATTATTGATTAATACGGTTAATTAGTAAATATAATTTTTCATTTATTAATTAAGTAATTATAGGACATGGAATTAATTAACATATTCGAATTAATGTAATACATTTACATATAAATCTACCATACTAATTACAATAATTAAATTTAAAATTTTAATAAAATATTTTAATTTAACTCATAAAACTAACTAAATTGTAAACATAAATGAGTCCAACAAAATTTTAGTTAGAAAGAAAATACAGCCCAATACATCTAAATGAAAATCCAGGCTTATTTGTTGTCGTCTTTAGTTTAGCCTAATTGTTTCATTTATTTGCACAATTTTTCCCTTGTAGAGGAATTTACATCCCTTACTATCAGTTATGATATATATTATACTTATACACCAATTATAATTTTATTTATAAAATTACAAAACAAACCTAAAATATTTATACTTATACCTAGGATTTTAAATGATGCCCATGTAACAGTTATCACCAAATATCGGGGCAAATTAAATATTATTGGCATAATTAATTGAATCAAACATATAATTACCAAAAAGAACGGACCCACACTCTCTGCTATCATCTCTTTACAAAACCATCTCTGCAAAATCACCTCAATGTTCATCTCTGCAAAAAAAAAAAATTCCCCTGAATATGGGAATTGGAATTACATGTTGGTTTTAATGATAATTAACAAAATTAATTTGGAATTAATTTTGTGTTGTAAAATTCGGGGATTTGGTGCAAGGGGCTTCGC